TAGCCGTATAAAAGGCTTGAGCAGTTTCCGCCCAAGCCGAAGAGGACTCCACATCCATCTCGTGGGGACTCTGGGTACACGGCAGGGTAATAGAAACCCTGTGTGAGATCCAGGAGTGTGGCGGCCTGATCCACCGCCCACCTCTTCCCGTCTTCGAACGCAACTTTTATAAGACGTACTTACGATTTCTATTTTGGTGGCTCCTTTCCCCAGAGGAACCGCATATATACATCGTGGCGCCTAGCAACCTCCACGAGACCGTCTGTGTTGTTTGTCTGTAACTGCAACTTAATCAAGCTTTCCAGCCTACACCACTGCCATCTCGGTGTAAGTAAACAATCTTTTAAACTACCGCTACGCGTCCGTGCCTAATTCCAGCTCGAAGGCCTTCCCTCTCCGCCCCGGCGTGCCCGGGCTGCTGGCCACAGCCCGCGTGCAGCGCGAAAAGGGCTCGGGTCGCTCCTGGCCCGCACACATACCAGCTTCTACCATCCTTTCCAACTATCTCTTATTGGTCATCAGTATCACTTCTTTTTTGTCTTGATTTGGTCTCAGTCCACCAATGCTTTCCACACTCAATTCCAGCAAAAACTGGGATAAGATTCCACAATCAAACAGAAGTAATAAAAAAAGAGATGAAAATCTGCGTGCAAGTCAGAGGCAAACTACAGTGCACAATTTCCTGACACTCCCAAATGTCCTATAGCCATAGTATTTTTATTACATTTGCTGCATTGAAAATCTCCACAGGTACCAACACTTCTCCACTAGATTTTTCTAGCCACATAAGCCATAAACCTATAGTCTATTTATTAAATCTTATGCTCCAATGCAGAATCAGAATATCAGCAAATAAAATCCGTTGAAATGAATTAAACATACCTCTGACTATATGCCCATGTGTAACATTTTCATTTTTTCCTTGATGACAGGGCAAAGTACCTACTTCCAAAAGGTGAATTGTTATAGGACCTTCACTCAAAACAAGTGAATACCATTTAAATGTACAGTTCTGGCAATTATTTCCTTATTCATCATATATTTCATGTAAGGTCACTGAGAAATTTGTGTAAAGGTAACTTCACATAAGAAGGAACATGCACATAAAATATGTTCTGATCCAGTTCCAGATGACTTTTCTAATCAACATTCTCTATGTACTAAAAACCTCTTTAGTTTTGTTCACTTGGGTGTGTGGTGTGTTAGGTGACTTCTTGCCCTATAGACTCTAACATGGCTGAAAATATAATGACAGGTTAATAGATTATTAATATAATCTATTAATGGACATGTTCAATATCTCTTTACTGAGAGCAAGATGGCAGCTTACTACAATATCATCAGTCTATCCACCCATTTGTAATCTCATTTTTCAGGATAAGGGTAAGAAGAAGCCTAGTTTGGTATATGCACACACATTTGCCAAGTAAACAATGGTTTTGCCATAAATTAGCCTTTTCCAGTACAAGCAAGTGCAACAGACAAATACCATGTTGTTCTAGTAAATATAGCACTTTGAGAGATTATAATGAGGAAATAGTTCCTTGGAAATAGTGCTTAATGTTTAAGAAAAAATATATTCCATTGAATAATGGGTCTAATAGATTAACTCAATTAACTTGCTATTGGTCAATAAATACATGCATGTTGCCTGTATTTTTTCTATTATGGATAACATCAGTTGTAAAATAGGGATACTACTGCCTTTCTTTCTAATTGTGTGTGTGCATTATTTAGATTGCATCCTCTGTATATTTAGATGGTATCCTTTGTATTTTTAAGGAAAGGGTAAGCCATATAAGTACTATTTATTTTTTAAGACAGCTGGATAAATAATTAGACATGAAAGAAATATTTTATTCTTACATCAGTTAATACTGCTAGCAATTATTTTTTGGGTGATTTCTACTATGCATGTGAATTTCTCTTGTAAGAAAAATAGATTTAACTTTTGCTGGATGAAGCTTCTATGTCCCTTAGTTCAATGCAATTTGTCCAGATAATTCATTTGTAATTTATCTTACTATCAAATACTTCATTACTGTACCTGAAATATCCGATGGAATTTTTGCTTGGAATATTTCACTAACAGCTTGCATGAGGAATACACGTATGCTCCTAATTATGTAGTCCATTATTTAAAAAGCCCTGGTTTAATGACCAGAGGTGAATGAAAATATGTATAACCAACCAAGAGTTTTTCTAAGATGATTAATAAATCATTAGAAATATAAAGAAATAAAGCCATGAAAGGGGTACAGTAACATTCTGAAACAAACTTCACAAGACAATCAAAAAAAAAGCAAGCTTGTGATTCAGAGATATAAATCAGTTCACTTTCAGAAATAAGGTGTCTTTGTTTCTGTTAAGGTTCCACTCTGTCAGGGATGGGCAAAATATAACCTGCGGGCTCGATCTGACCCACAGAGTGCCTTTGTTTGGCCCATGGCAGGTCCTTCAGTCCTGCCTGGCCCAGGCACCATCCAGCCGTGGCATGTACTGCCACACACACGCACCCAAGCACCTTTGGAGGGAGCTCCACTCACTGCTACATGCTCACACCCCACCACCCACACTCCCCCCACACCACCTCCCCGCACACACACCCCAGTCACCCTCTCCCTCCATATAACCTAAGCCCCATACTCACCACACATATTGACACAAACACCCCCCCCAAAGTCCCCATACTCACCCATCACATCCACACATACCTCCACACCCCACATATATACACATCCACACAAACACACCCAAATGCCCCCCACAAACCCATACCCACCCACCTACACCCTCCACACCCCCTGCAATATACAGGAGAAAGATTTCATTTTGAGCTATTATGCAATCACCTCTATATACACAATGCAAACACACACAAATCAGGACCAAAATATTTTTTTAAATGACATTAAAATATGTTACTGTCAATGTTTGATTTTTAGTATACAATTTGTTTTTTTTCCAGGTCCAAGATGGCAACCCCGCTTCCCAAACGGAGTACTTCTGGGGACAGGGGGAGGGACTTCCACTGGCAAATTTCAGAGGTTAGGAGGTAGGACTTCCGGTCCCAAGATGGCAACTGAGAGCAGGGCACTTGTCAAGGGGTGGAGCTTTCCTTGTAGCCCTCAACAGCTCACATCTCATCAAATGGCCCTCCAGCCGAAATAATTGTCCGCCCCTACACTATATAAACTATGTTGTTGACACTGCTACTATAATGCATTTTATCAGCAATACCTCTGCTTTCATGTAATCTCTTTATTAGTGATATTGTTAAAAAATTTCACATTAGAACCACACCTCCAGTATTTCCTCCTTATGTATCCAGACTTCTATATTTGTCACTTGTAAAACTGTTAGAAAGCAATTCCATCTAGCAATATGCATATCTGATGTTCATACAGTGCTCCGTCCCCCTTCAACCCTCTGAGGGTTTGTGCAGTCCTACTTCTGAACTGCCCATTCTACCACCAGAGTTTATTCCATTGTTCAGAGATGCTGAAAAGATAGGAGGAGAACATGAGTCACAGCATATCTGCAACCCATATATATCATTATAAAACTCAAAAAAGGCATGTGCCAGAAAGCCATTTTGATTTCATAAGGTGAGTAAAGAAGATCAGGACCAGGAAATGAATTAGACTGTGTTTAAGTTGCATTAAGAGCTGAAAAACGGTATGGGATTGAGGGAAGGGAAAATAAGAGATGGAACAAATAGGAGAAAAAAAGTAAATATATAGTTATCTATGGTTATCTTAAGCTATCTAAAGAGGATGTAGTAATACAGAAGGTGCTGTGCTTATTGAAGGGTATGTCTGGACCCCACTTTGAAAAACCATGCGCATTTTTTCCAGAGATAATTTTGTGAATGTTAGTAATTATATGTAATATATATATATTACATATAATTATATTATAATTAAATATATTACATATAAATACATATATAATATGTAATTATATAGTAATTATATGTTATACTCTCTACTGCGATTTATTGGTGTGTAAAATATTATGGTGGACTTAAATTGAGGCCTACAGGAAATGTAATGAATTGCTAAGTAAAAAAAAATGTTAAAGGAGATTTCTACACTGGGAAAATAATTGAAAAGGTAACAAACCTGACTAGAGAAAGCATGTTCACTCAAGCAATTCCTAGGTGTAGGCGTAGCTTTTGAAATGATAGGGGATGCTGCCATTAACACCAATTGAAGATAACTCTGTATGTAAAATACTCCCTGCAGTACCATTATTACATATGCAATGATGTATTTTTATTATTTATGTGCATTACCATAGAACCTTAGTGCCGCAGTCAGGATTCAGGGAACTATAAAGATAAAATAGGAAAAAGCCAATATATGGTGTGCATGTAGAATAACAAGCTTATATCGAACTTTTGCAGTGCATACTTAGGCCCAGATTTTGTTAGGCATCTTAGTGAACTTAAGTGTGATTCTATTCTATCTTCCCTGAAAATCCATTAATGCATCTACTTCTGTAACCTGGAGGAGAAGAAGAACTCTAACCTGAGAAAGAAAGAAGATATAGTTGAACCAAGCCAGGTTACATAACTTCCATTAAGAAATGGGTTAAGAGAAGCATTATTTTCTGATTATAAAGGGGCTAGAGGCAGCAGCAGCCTGATCAGCTACCAGAGGTGCCAGAGTTTGCTGCAGTATGGTTACCTTGTGCTGCTGCTACAGGTTCAAAGTGTGATATATATAAACCAATACTAACCAAAACATATATGAATTTTTATTGTTCAAGTCTGAGTCACAGAACTTTGTGATTTTCAAATCTGCTTCATGGACTGGGCCAGCCAAAAGCTACTCTTAGAATGTACAAGATATTTCTTACCATCTTTTCAGGCCCCAGGGAAACAAATAAAATAAAAAGATATTCTGTTCTGTGCCTCTCAATATTTTCCTAGACCCCTTTCTCCTGCCTAGTCCATTAACATGATATCTACTAATTTTACTAATTTGAGTGATTACCTCTTGAAGAACCCTCTTCATTTTCAGCAGTAATGTCTTGACAGCTGTGCAGTCCTGCATCATTAGTCTAAAAGGCAATGATTCCATGCCTCCACCTTCTTCCAGACCTGCAAAAGGCCACTCCACTGATGGACTGCTGGCTGCCTGGGTAATAAGAGGGCACTTAGCTTCTCCTAGTTCCATGTCCTTTGACAACTTCAAAGACAGATTCCTAATAAGAGAAAATGCAGACAAAAATAAATAAAATTTGGATAAAATATTTTTTTTAGGCTCTTCCTCATTTTTAAGTATTCAGAGTGAATTTTCACAAGCAGACAGCTTTATCTCCTCTTTATGCACTCTGTGTATAGGATCATAGGAAAGCAGAGCTGGAAGGGACTCAATGAGGTTATCTAGTCCAGCCCCCTGGTCAAAGCAGGAACATCTCTGACTAAACCATCCCAGACAAGTGCCTGTCTAACTTGCTCTTGAAAATGTCCACATTTGGAAATCTTTATAATTCATACAAGGAAAGTTTTATTACTGAACAGACTGGGAACTGCTATTGGTTTACCTAAAATCCTATCTAATACCCACAACAGGTTTTTAGGACAGGGTATCAGACCAAGACACAGCTACCACTTAGACATCCTCTACACGTTACATTTATGCCAGGATTAACATGTTAATCATGCCATAAATGGAAAAGTTACTGTATATACATTCAATTTAAGGTGCCTTAAAATGGAAAACCAGCCATAAATAAGTTCCACATACATTTCCAAAACATTTTTATGGTTGGTTTGTATGATGCCTTAAATTTAACATGCAGCAGTGCTGGGGTCAACAGTCAACTGATCGTTGGCTCTGGTGTCAGCCCCAGGATCATGAGGCCATTTTGAGACTCCACTATGGTTCTAGGACCAGAGCTGAAAATCAGTGGTCAGCCTCAGCCCCAGACCACACTAGGACCAACTGGAGACCCCGGTGTTGTCAAAGGGCTGGAGCCAGCAACCAGCAGATTGCTGGTCATGGATAGGCAGGCACCTGTTTTTCAGCTTTCTGGTGTAGAGGGATACCTGGACCACGATCCCAGGCTGTCCCTGCATTAGCAAGTAGAAAAAAGACAATTGGGATCTGATTCCTGATTCCACGCATGGCAGGAGGTGTGATTGTTGGGACTGGGGATCAGATCCCATGGCACCTTTAAATGAATACATGTCAGAGGCCTCAGAGAAAAACCATTTTTCATTTTAAGCAACATATTCTGAGCCAAAAATCTGCAAGTTGAGCAATGATTTCAAAACAGGTTACATGACATCCTGGTTGCCCAGTAAGCTAAATAAAAGCATCATACAGCTATCTTCAGGGGATCTCTCTCTCCCTCTCTCTAGATATATATCTATATCTATATCTATATATTTAGTTTAATATTACACCTTTTTGCTCTGGAACTACCAAGAAAAGAAAGAAAATGCTAAATGAAGGATAAACACCAGAAAGTAGTAGCACTTTGTAATAATGGTATATTCATTACTTGCTAAATTACAAGAGGATTTCAGTGGAATTACGTGTCATATCTTTATTATTACTAAACGAAATCACCATAATTAAATAAGTAGCATAAGCAGCAATGAAAATGATGATTATTGTCCATTTAATGTACAGTTCAAATTTTCTGCTTTCTTTGAAATTATATGCAACATAAAAGGTAGTTGGTGTTTGGATTCTGAATCTTAAACATTAATAATTTATGATAAAAATAAGCCTTCCCAAATGCAAAAGATTTAAGTTAACTTTGGTTTCCTAAAAACACACATCCAAAAATAAATTAATGCATTTTTTTCAAAATAAATCATTTCTGTCTCCACTCTAAAAATGGCACATACTGTTACTAGAATAATCTTTTGTAGATGGCCCCTTTAAAAAAACAAACATAAGCTGTACGACCTGCACATGGGGCAATATGCTTAGCTGAGAAATACACCAAAGAGATCACTGCTATACCAGTGTATAAAAAAAAGGTTCATAACAGACAATGGAAATAACATTTTTATAAGCCAGGCTTTTTCAGAATCTCTTTTGGGAATCAAATTATTCTGCTTTTCATTATTCAAATATATTGAAACAACAGTGTGAGCGGAACATTTTGTGTGCTTCAAAATGATAAACTGGAGAGGACGGTAAAGGTGTGTAAAAGCCAAGAATATTAAGTAACTGTTGATTCACTGCCTTTATTAAAGCAGCCTAATGTATAAATCGTGGAAAAAGAAAGAACAAAAGAACAAATGAAAGAGCGAATTAAAGAGCAAACGAAAGAATCTTAACTGCAACTTCTGGTTTTTCTCTCTCTTTTAAGTATTTACAAAAGAAGGTATGCTCACACTATGGGAATTTATATCTGAATGAGTACAATGAAAATGAGGAGAATATTGTTTGACTCTAGTAAGTTACTATACCTCCAGAGGATGAAGTCATAACGTATGAAGGACACCCTGGCAGTAAGAATGAACAACACTCATAGGGAGTTTTTACAAATAGGTCTGCAGTGTTGAGAGAGATTAGTTTCTCTTGCAGTACCATTACTTTAAAAGCAACCATAGCACTCTCCCTTACTTGTGGGCATGGGAAATTTATGTTATTCTGAATGAGGAGATCACTTACAGGGAGTGCCAATGCAACACTTACATATAAACTGGAAATGTGTTGGTAATTAAAGTAAATTTGGGTCTGAACCAAAGCCTGTTCAAGTTAATGGAACTCTTTTCACTCACTTCAGTGGGCTTTAGATCAAGCCCACAATGTTGAAAGCATTCTAAATAAATGTATTTTCAAATATGGAATATTGTACTGAAGTAGAACAAGAAGAATGAAGGAAGACTTAATTTAAGTAGGACTTAAAAAATCACAGCCATCTCATTTATCCATGTAACGGTTGCCATTAAAAAGTCAATATTGCCATAAGCAGGTAACATAGTATTTCTAATATTACTTGAATGGGATATAATTGTTTTATATTAGAAAATTTATTCAGTATATAACTGCTAACAAATGCTTGTACAACCAGCTTTGTTTGCTACAAGAAAATACTTTCCCAAACGTACTTTTCATCAAGTACATAATTATCACTTTCCAATTAGTCTATTAGAGAATTATGTACTCTATTTTAATTTATCAGAGAACAGCAGTAAAAATTTAGCAGACAAAAGTACTTACTAGGATTAGCAGTTTTTCCCATGTAATTAGAGTTGGCAAGTTAGCAGGTATGCTGCTTGCCAACTGCAGGCACTGGTTAGGTACAATTTTCTGCCATAAAATGCACTCTCACTCAACTCAAATTACTTCATGGAAATGTGTCCACTAACAAAATATTTGAAATTTGATTAAAAATTTAAAAATGGTTCATTTCAACCCTATCATCTGGTTACAGTCAAAATATTTTTATTTAAATTATACCATTATTATAATACAATATTTACATTATATTTCATTATATTGGGTTTTAATGTTATTAGAATAAATCATTTCAAGAAATTAATTGTAATATTGCCAAATTGAAATATTTGGATGTTTCTGTTTGAAGAACATTTTGCTAACTTTGATTTGTCATCCCAATTCAGGATAAAATGTCTGAAATTATGAAATGTCAATTTCCTGCATTATAAAGTTCCATTTTCCAAACAGCTCCAGAATTATAGGTTCTGAATATTCAAAAACTGGATGAAAATCATATGAAAATCATTGACCTGATAAAACAAACAAACAAACAAACAAACAATGGTCTTAGCCCTAATTTCTTTTAAAGAATAATATAGCGGGAAATTGATTTAAAAATGGTTTATCCAGTTGTTCTGCAAACAAAGAGTGAAGATAGAACAATCTCCAGCAAGTCATTTTAAACCTGGCTTCTAGCTGTATCTTAACTCCTAGATTTTTTTGTTTTTTGACAACTTGTTTGATTTCAGTAAAACTCGGCACTTTTGAAAAGTAGATGCTTATCTCCATCTATAGGCACATAACCCATTTAATAATCTTCCCTGAAGGCTGTGCCAGACACACACATTTTTAAGAGGTCTGAACCATTTCTTGAGAATTCTCTATTGCCCTCTCTGTGAAGTTCCAAACCCAGAACTGACCCTGAGAACAAACCAGCTCTTAACTCCAATTTTAGGATATGTGAAGCAAAAAATATTTCCATCAAAAGAGACTTCTTAACATTCCATTTTGTATCATTCTGAACAGTTCCAACGTTACAAGAAGCCACTGCAAATCACAGAAATCTAGAATGAAAACCTGTCCCACATATTTTTCAATGTTTTGCCTTTGAGTTCAATGCAACAAAGATCTGACATATAGTGACATGTGTTCTCAGTTGATCACCCCACCTATGGAAAGAACCCCCACAAGCTACAGTACATGAAACCTCAAACAGTAGCTCAGTATATGGCACTCTGCTAGTCATGAGATTATAAAGGTTTGGACCATTGTGTTGTTGGCTACAATTGTCCAACTCGGGATCCTTAAAATTCTGGTTTATTAGGCGGATTGAAACACTGTAATGAAGTCAAATCTTAAACCTTGGGGCTGGTCCCCACACACACACACACATGCACACTCACAGTAGCGAGTTACAAGAGTCGGGTATACCTATCCCACAGGCACTGGAGTCTGCCGTCAATGGCCAGTCGTGGCTTCTTCCAGCGTGGTGTTATCTTCCAGAAGGGGGTCGCCGGCTGGTCCTTCTGGCTGGACAGGTCAGGTACTGGTCAAGTTGGAGATCAAGAGGGTGCCACTGAGGGTCACTTTTCACTGCTTTTTATCTGTTCCTGTCAGACTTTGGTGACTCCCCAGTTTTCAGGTTTGCCCAATCCAGGGGTCTTTAACCCTCGTGGGACTTCCCCCTCAGTGGCTACTGGATGGCATCTGTCAGCCCCAGGGGTCGTCCACATGTACGTGCAGGTTTGGGAGTCTGTTGATGACTTTTGATTAATTTACCGCTTTCTTGAATAGGGCTCTGGGAGCAGTCAATCTGGAGATATACAGCCCCAAAAGCTGGTCCCCGGCATTGATTAACTCAGACTAGGGCTTCTAGCCCTTGAACAGTAAAGTTTTGAGAATTCCCGGTTGCTACATTGTCTCCTATTGATTTCTTCCTTTGCTTGATCTGTGGTTTTCGTAGGTGTTAATTGACCCTTGTTACTGAAGCCTGCGACTGTGTTACACATT